CTATTTTGCAGTCTTCATATATGCATGCATGTACATATAGACACACATATTTATTTAAAATTTCAAAATATTCCATTTTGTGAATGTGAAATAATTTATTAAACTAAGGCTATTTTGAGAGACATTTTAATTGCTTTCAGTATTTCACTATTATAAACAATATGAAAAGAATATCCTTAGCCATATATCTCTGTGTTCTTCTCAGATTATCTTTGGAGAAATCCTTAGGAGTAATATAGCTGGATCAAGAAGTGTGCATGTGTAAAGTCTTAAGCGATTTTCAAATTGTCCTCCAAAAAGATTAGCCAATTTTTACTCCTACCTACAGTAAATAGGAGTGCCCATTTCTCTCCCCACTCACTAACATAGAGTATTGTCAGACTTATTCCCATTTTTCAGTCTGATAAGTGACAAATTATGTCTTAATTTACTATTTTGGGAGGTTACCAGTAAAATTTAGAATCTTTTCTTGTGATAGTTGACCATTTATTTCTCTTTTTTTCTCTCTCTCTCTTTCTTTTTTATTTTTGTGAATTGTGTCCTTTGCTCATTTTTTTCTATTGCAGTGTTCATTTCTGTTTTAGTAATTGGGAGAAGTTCTTTGTATTAGTTGGCCCATATGTAGCAAATAGATTCCTCAACTTTTCATTTATTTTCAAACTTTTTCATGATTTTACTTTTAATATATGAAAGCATTTGAGTTTTATGTAGTCATGCCTTTCAGTCTTTCTATTTCCACTTTCTGAGTTTTCCGTCATACTTAGAAAGTCCATCGCCTTCCCAAGAGCATTAAAATGTTGATTTATATGGTCTTCAGTACTTCTTAGTATTTTTTTTTATTTTCTATATTTTAATCTTAGATATCTAGAATTTATTTTGCTGAAGAATAGCTAAAATTTTATTTATTTTTAAGTGCCAGTTGTTCACAAATCATTTATGGAGCTTTCCTCATTGATATAACATGGTCCTAAATTTTAAACAAATAGAAACATATATGTTTAATTTCTGGACTAACTTTTTTGTTGCTCTGATTGTTTATTCCTGTACTGTACTGCTGCTACTGTTATAGTTCTATAATACATTTTAGGAACCAGGAGGGCAAGTCTCCTCTGCTGGTTTTTGTTTTCTTAAAGTCAGTTTGGATTTTTAATGAGATTGCATTTAATTTATAGAATAATTTAGGTAAAATTATATTAAAAATATCCACCTGCCCAATAATAGAATAATATTATATTTATTTCAGTCTTATTTTAGGACATAAGTAGAATTTTTTAAAATATTATTTTTTTCATATAAGTCTTTCTACTTGCTAAATTTATATGAAAAGCCGTGAAGGGTCTGAGATTTTATCCTCTGAAGAACAAACAAGTTGCCTACCATAATGACAGGGATGCTGGCAGAAGACAGTCAACTCCTAGGTCAGAGGCACAGCAGGTGGTAAATCTTCATGTTCCCATCTGCTTCCATTGTCTGGGTTCCATGGTGGGTGCTGCACAAGCAGTGGGTTTGTATCACAGCTTAGGAAACCCTGATGAGAAGTCAGGTCAAGCTGCTTTGAGCTAGCTGATGAAGAATGAGGACAGTAAACCAAAGAGGGAAGAAAGAGCATTCTAGGCAAAGGGAACCACATATGCAAAGGCCCTGTGGCAGGAGTAAGTGTGGAAACTATAAATAACTGAAAAAAAGGCCATCATAGTGAGCCCATTATCTTCTAGCTAATGGTGCTGAACAGAGTTAGCCTGTTTATTTTCCCCCTTGTAAATGATCTATTTATTCTGTCTAAATTCTTATAGATTTTTTTCTATTGCCTTTAAGTGCATTGTTTTTATTAAGATTTATTGTTATTCATTCTTAAAGAAATTTTAAGACACAGAGAGCTTCTTCTGGAAGATGACCTCTTAATATATCTTTGAGTATTTTCCTTTGCTATTTTTTTTCTCTCCCCCACTTTGCTATTAGTTTTGATCTTTTCTTTAAACATTTGATAAACTGTCATTATCTTCCATAGTTGTGTTTTCCTTAAAAAAATGTAATTGCCTGTTTCCACTGCATTCCAAGATTCCAAGAATAAGGACTCTTCCTTATTTTGAGTATTGATTGATTTTTGCTGGTTTTACTTTTTTGTTGTTGTTGTTGTTCATGTCTTAGTTTTGGAGAAGGAGGTTTTTGGGGACCCTGAACTTTTGCAATCATCTATTCCAAAATCTGTTATTGAAAGACCACTTTTAAGTGCTTTCCCCTAACTCTTTAAAATTATTCCAAGGAGACCTTTAGAGAATCCCCCACAATTAAAATAACCTCTTCTATTTTTAAACATCTTCTGCCTTGTTACTTAAAATTATATTTATTTGTGTATTAAAATTGTGACAAAGAATTGGGAAGTAGTATCTTCTTGATTAACAGATGAACTATATAATCAGGTGTGGTGAATTAAAGAAATTGAGAAGATTTCTTATCTCCAAGAACATCCCCAATTTGTTTGCCACCAAAATGGTTTACTGTTGCTCCGTTCGTGTAAAATTTGTTGATCTGATTTAGTTATCTGGACAGGTCCTTCATACTCCTAAGATGGATGTGCTTCTATGGGAAGAAATGAAAAGTAACACAAATCCTGGTTTTTCCTCCCAGTAGGGAGAGAGAAGTAGAATAACCGAATCGAAAATATGACTTTTTTCCAAGGAAATTTTTCTTGGCATATTAAGAAATCTGGGGATAATTTTGAATGATATAAACTTTTAGGATAATGTGCTAACTACCTTGTTACCATTTCTTTATTCTTCAAATCCTATTCAACAAGAAGAGTTTTGTGAGGGAGTATCTCAGTTAGCACAGCATCCCAATTCACTAGTGAAGGAATGCAGCAATTGACCCTTCAAGAGGACTCTTATTTCTAGGAGAGGAAAGAGATTCAATGCCTTTGCTGATTGTGGGTTTCGCTTGTTGACTTTTGATCTTGACATTAGTTGATACCTTGCTGACCTCCTTACTAGAGGCAAAGTAGGAAGGTGGAGAAACATGCCCCAAACTAGGAAAAATTCCTGTTTCTAAAGTCCATAAAGATAAACTAATAATGAAGAAGGAGAAACTTGATCATGATAGTTCAAAATGGAACTCAAACCAAGTTTCACATAGTAAAAATCTTATTGGATAAATTTTGGTGATTCTTCAATGTTTTGTTTTGTTTTTGAAAATGATTGTTTTGGGTATTTGTTGGCATCATGGAGTACAGACGTTAAAATCTAGAAATAGAATGATGTTCTTTGTTTACATGGTGATGGGTTTATCTTCATTGATCTTAATTCCTTGACTCTAAGATGACTTTGATTATATCGTCTGTCACTATTGTCATTATTTCATGTGCCACTAAGAAAAAAAAAAAGTCCCCTATGGGATTCTGATGGGCTTACAGTGCTTTAGGGTGCACCCTAGTTCCCAAAATGTTAATGTGTGAACAACATGCATCTTAGAATCAATGAGATAGGGCATTTTTCTTAAACTGACAAAAACAGGGAAAATTGATATCCTTAAGAGCTTGTCCATCTATCTGAACCGCTTAACAATATAGTCAATAAATTTATGCTTTAAAATTCTATTCACTAGGTATGATATTTTCAAGAATAGTCAAGATTATTGATAGAATACTGTTAAAATTCAGAGAATTAACAAAGTGAACTTACATCTATAAAGGATGCCTCTAATTTCCCCTGTCATATTTTTAAGAATTTCTACTATTTGATATTTTCGTCCCGAAGCCAAACAATCTGGTCCCTGAAATGCTGCCCAGACCAGGGTGTAGGGGCTTCTTCTATCATCTTTTCAATCTCTTTCTTCTGCCTTTTGAGCAAGAGTCTCTCATTTTCACTGCTAGGTACCACTAATTCTCAGAAATAAATTTTATCACCTAATATCACCTCTGACTTAAAGTCAAAAGTTCTGTCTCATTTGTCACATTCCTGAACATTCCAGGAAATTTGAGCTCAACGTTCTGCTATGTTCTCTGGGTTGACCAACTACTTCTTGCTGTAAGATTTAGCCAACTCTACTTCAGAAGCTTATTAGTAGTGTTTTTTAATGCTAAGAATATTCTAGAATGTGAAGTATCTGCTTGGAAGAAAGGGCTTGTATTGGGTTGTCGGAAAAATCATGACGCATTTTTGCAATGAAAAACAGAAAAAATATGTCATGACTTTCCCGACAACCCAATACATGATGAATAATTATCCAGAGTCCCACCATCTTTGCCATTGGTAATATTTTAGCACATTTCCTTGTATTTTTTCACCATGTAAAATTTTGCATAATTGAGATCATTTTTTATGTGTAATTTGTGTGATGCTTATTCACTCAACTTCATGTTATTAAGGGTATTTTTAAAGGCTTTTGTTTAGTTGATTGTTTTATTCAATAAACTATTCCTCTATTGCTTGTTATTTGGGCTATATCCATTTTATTTTTGCAATTCTAAATCATGTTAAAATGAACATTTCTGTGTGTAAGTCTCTGCCCACAATTTGATTGAGAGACATAATCACTTTTAATACAATTGATTTGTACTGTTAAATTTCTTGGGAAAAAATGCATAACAATCTATAACCCAACCAAGGGGATAGTAGTGAACATGAGAGAATGGTTGTGTTTATTTAAAACTGTTATTACATAAGTTCAAAGTTGAACTGAGGAAACTGAAGCGTAGATAAAGTTGTCTTGTTGCTGGTGATACTATCAATTGTGTTTGGAGCTGGGAATTTATTGTCTTCTCCACCTAGCCAGTATCTTCCCTACTTCACTATAGTCCTGTGAAAATTCACCCTCTTTTAAATTATATCAGGAGCCCAACAGCATCATTAAAGCTCCTCATAGCGTCTGGCTCTTTCGTAGTTGGTCTTCTGCTCCAGTGAGGGGTGGTATGGCCAAAATCACCAAACCAGATCCATGTTTGTTTTGCAAACCAAACAAACACTTCTGTTTTTGTTTTGCTTTGTGTCTGGACTAATTCTTAGCACCTCTTCTGCCTGTGAGCGATTTGTTACTTCCTTCTGTAAGACTGGCACCAGCAGACATGCAGTCTCAGAGGATCCCCGGGAGAAAGCGAGGCCGACCCCCACTTCACTCAACACCTATGAAGATGGCAGTTCATAACCTTTATTCTGCTTCAGCTGGTTGTTTACCAGCCGTGAAGATCCCAAAGAAAAGAGGGCGGAAACCCGGGTACAAGGTATGGCTCCATCATCTCCTTTCTCCAAAGTGGTACTGGGCTGGGGCACGGGTGCGTGGGCAGAGCTCCACTGCACAATGTGATGAAAGGTTGGGTTGGGAACTGGGTAAAGACAGGATCAATAAGTTTCTGTCAATGGAGCATGTGATGGACGAGGCCTTGTTGTTACCACATGGCCACACAACGCCTGCTGTCGCTGTCATGGGCATTTTTACAAGTGGAGAAAGCAAATTACACCAGATGGGGAAAGCTGTAAGACGTCAGAGCTAAACACACATGATTCAGTCTTGCATCTAAATTAATATTTCAGACACTGAGCTGTCCCCTGACTCTGCCTACTGGGGTGGCTCTCGAAACCACTTTCCAGAACTCATTTGTCACTTATTTTAGAAGAAGCAAATGATGTTCCTGAGACATTTGAATTAATAATGTGAGCAGGCTAGTGTCAAAGGTTATAGAAGTGTGTTCCCAAATAGAGCTTCCACAAGGGAGGCTCATGGTGAAAATGCAGGGTGTTAATTCATAGTTTCCTGCTTATAAAAGGTGCTAATGTCAAGTTTGGCTACAAGGAGGTGTATCAGGCCCCCCAAAAAATACTGCGACCCTTTTAAGAATCAATGATTTGGAGAGGCTGGGGGTGGAGAACAAATTCTCTGATGTCACTGCAATCACATAAAGCGACCCAGGCCCAAGGATTAGCTTCTCCTCTAAGATGTTTTTGAAGAAGCTACTGGAGAGGAAAGACAGAGCTTGTTCTCCTCAAGCCTTTCGGGCATTAGATAATGAGCTTCCAGAATTTTCTTTCATTTACTTTTCTTGAAATAAAGAGCTTATGTTTCCATCTTGAGATCTGCACACTCAAAGCAAAATGCAAATTGGCAATTAACTCCCATAGATTTAGGAAAATGTATGGAAATTATTTCAGGTCAGCAGAAAGACAAAGCTTCCAGAAGAACTGGTCATAAATTCAGCCTTTAGCCCTTTGGGTCTCCACAGTCCTTCCAACTGCTGGAAAATAAAAATGGTAGGTGGGGAGAAAGCGACTCAAAGTTATTTGGGAGGGGGGCCATTGGTTTTAGTGAAAGAAGCTTTTATTCAGTTATCTCCTGGGGTAATTTCTGTCACTGGTGCTTTTTCTAACAGAGAGCTTCCTTTTTCTCATGGGCACACCAGCTTCAGAACTGTGTCTGAAGCTGGCACAGGGCAGGTCTCCCCAGTCATCTACCTGTGCAGTTGCTGGGGTCGGGGAATTGCATCTGGAAGGCTGGAGCTGGGCAGCCTTTCTGTTTAGAGAGCCAGGGAGCTAGTCCAGGACCTGAAGAAACATACTGCAAACTTTTCTCTTCTGTTTGGCCTTTCTCCTATTCCCCTGGGATCTGTGACCAAGAATGAAAATTACTGACAGACACAGCATTTCTGCGGCCAGGAAAAATGGAAATTCACTCCATGGAATGAGCCCAACTTTGCAATTTTCCTGTCTCCTAAAAAGGGCAGTTTTCAGTGCTCTTAACACTCAGAGACACCTCAGGGCAGGGAGAAAGCTTTTGGGATGGTTAGTTGACAATCCAGGCCCTGCACAAAGCTGGCAGGTCTCAGGCCCATGTCTCACAGGGGACAACTGGCCACAGCAGTTCCTTGAGTCTATCTCCCATGTATTTGGGGAAAGGTGTGGGAATGATATCAGATGAGCAGTTCCCAGACAACTCCCCAAGCCATGGGCTTTGTGTTTTAGAAGAATAGCTCCAAACCAGGTGCTAGTCTGCGTGACATTTCGGCCCGTTTGTGATAACGTGAGAAAAATAAGAACCGTTTGAAAGTCTTCATCAAGCTAAAATGATTCCACTTAAAGGATTATCCTTCATTCTGAAATATCTACTTCCTACTATTTTGGTGTTAACGTTTATTTTATTGGGTTGTTAGAAAAGTCATGACATATGTTTGCTATGTTTTTCGTTGCAAAAATGCATCATGACTTTTTCAACAACCCAATATTTCACTTTATTAAGTGTTGTATATTGTCAGGGTTTGGCAAAATAAAGTTGGCAACCTATTAAGTCTCTCCAGTTTTATTTTGACACTGTCTTAGACACTGAAGCCCCATTTACCATGAACAAAAGGTTTTTAATTGTGGAGAACCCAGCAAGGAAACTGTACAGTTTTATTCCATTTACCAAATGGCCACTAGTTTGGCAATTCTAACGATCTGGGACACAGTTGAGGAGCCAGAAGTTGTTAAAAACAAAACAAAAAAACCCTGAATAAGCAAAATGAGATATTATTTGGTCTACTATTAAAGATCTTGTTTTTATTACTAAGAAAATGCTTTCAAGGCCTCCCTCAGAGTCTATTCACTTCTACTATAAACACATTTCTTACAAGCTCAATTATAGCAGTTTATTTATAGCCTTGGATTTGAAGGGGAGGATATTTGAGGGGAGAAGTCTTCACACATAGCTGGACACCTAAAGGATAATAGTAATTATTATTATAATTCTATGATAATATATTAATAACATAGAACAATAAAATATACAATATTATCAATATTATAAAATAATAAATAACTATAATTTTGTCATATCAACAACATTATGATTTACAGAGGGTGCCAAAAAAATGTGTACACATTTTAAGAAAGGAAAAAACTATATTAAAATTGCACTGATGGTAACTACTTTGAGCACCTCTTGTAATTGCAGAAGTCAAACGTGACTTGTATTCATCTTTTGTTATTGGTATATATTGGGTATTACAATTTTAATACAGTTTTTTCCTTTCTTAAAATGTGTATACTTTTTTGGGGCACCCTCTGTATTTATACTAACAATATTATCATAATAAACTGATAACTGTTTGAGCCTTTGGTAGGCTCGTCTCCAGGAGATTCTGAGGCCATCTGGTTGTACTGACTATATCACAGGTCTGTGCTGTTTGATGTTTGTCACTTCTAGCCTGGTGTTGTCCCAAGCTGTTCTGTCAATCACTGTGCCCCTACACATGTGGAAACTCTCTTCAGGCCAAGTAGGGCACAAGCCTCTCCCTTAAGACCCATGTAGAGCTAAAACAGGTGTGACATTTAACCCCTCCTCTGAGCCTTGAGAACAACATGAGTGAATTATAGGCAGAAAAGGAAGAGTTCATCTGGCAGTCAGATGTCGGTGCTCCAGAGTTCAGAGGTCACGCCTCCTCCCTGGGCCATCTCATCTGGCCATCGCTTTCTTCTCCCCTGCCGGCAGCCACAATGCTGGGAAAAGCTGACTGCTGGGAGGTCATTATTTTATGATTTACTGCCCTCTTCTCACCCAACTCCAAGGAAGCAAACACCTCTTAACATCATCCTTTCTCTGAAGAGCTGTACTCTGACTGCCATGAACAGAACCGTCTTCATTGTCAATCAGAATATTTACACCTCAGTTTGAAGCATCTGCTATTGGTTTAGGTCCTTCATTCAGAGTCTCCACAAGGTCAACAGGTAGATTCCATGACTAAAAAGACCATCTTACTAAAGAGGTCTTTTTAAAGAGATAAAGAGAGAGGGTCTGCACCAAGGAGAAACCCTAGCTTTCATTCTGTGGACGTAGATGATTCAATGTCTCCACATAGTGGGATTTCCAGTTTCTGTGTCTTTATAATTGGGATTCTGATATAAAAGGGGAAAAAGTACTGAGTTTTTAAAATAGCCATTTGTCCCCAATATATAATAGTAATAATTAATACCAGTAGCAATAATAATCATACATAACATTTATTGAGCACTTCTATGTTTAAGGCTCTAGGCCAAAGTACTTTACGTATATATTTTCTTATTTGATCCTTAATAGTTTGATAGTGAGAAGAGTCAGAAAAACTTCAGGAATTACCATGAATCAACCAAGCCCCACATCCTGGGGCCACTTACTGTCGGGCTAGCAGCCCTCTACACCTTGCAATCTATTTGTGTTCTTGTTCATAATAGTAATTATGCTTCTTGACTCAAAAAAGAGTAAATTCTGGTCTGTCTGCTCTGTTTAATGAATTAAGAAAAGTGCAACATATTCTAGAAAGAATATCACCCCTGAAATGTTAAAAAAAAATGGTTAAAATGTTCTAAAATGTTGGTAATTGTATTATTCAGGATACAAAGTCAGCTGCTATAACAGTGACTTAAAGAAGATAAAAGCTAATCTCCCTCTCATGTTAAAGTCTGGGAAGGCTATCTGGGACTGATAACAATGGCTCCATGGTGCTGGGGACCCAGGCTCCTTCTGTATTGTTGCTCTGCTATCTTAACACAAAGTCTCCACCTCATGCTCTAAAATGGTTCCTCCAGTTCCCACTATCCCACTTGTCCAGCTAGCAGAATGGGTACAGAGGTAGTGGAGGCATGTCTTTCCCCTTCAAGGGCCCAGCCTTCAAAGTTGCATACACCCCTTACACTTGCATCTCACTGGCCAGAGAGCTTAGCCACCTGGCCACACTTAGCCCCAAGGGAGATGGGGAAAATGCAGTGCTGGGTGACTGGGTCATGAGCTAAAATTCAGGGATTCCATTATTAAAGGAAAAAGAGAGCATGGATATTTGGGAATATCCAGGAGCGTCTGCTAAGACTTAAAGGACAGTCTTCTGGTAACTGGAAAATTTATTTTATAAAGAAAGTAATTTTCTAATGAACATGGATAAACACAACATTTTGTTTTGTTCCACCTTTTTTATTGTCATCTTCTCCCTGCCCCAAAAGTATGTGCTCTTGGCACTGTGTAACAAGGGAGTCACGTTTACAAAAATCTCAATCAAGAGAATGCTCAAACTTAAGTAGAAAGGGTTTTGTTTGTTTGTCAACATTTGCTCAATGCTTCTTTCTAACATGTATTTTCATTACAACTGTTGAATTGGCTTCAATGCTTCTTTCATTACCCAGAACTTATAGTGCCTTAGAGTCATATTTGTGAACACTAAATGTAGCTTGCTAGTAGGCAAGGGAATAATGGATATCTAATAACTCTTCCTGTGCCTATTTTCAA